CGCGAACATTCGCTAGCCAAGCCATAGAACGCACGCGCGCCGTTTCTCTCGTTCTTTGACCGTCAATTTTTGTTTTTTTCACGCGCCTGAAAGTTCCTTGTACGTACGATCAGCTGCTGATCGGCGACGTCGATGAACCGTTGGCGTGCGTGCGCATACCGGCGATCGCGCCGCGCCATCTGCTAGATTATAAATTGACCGCGCACCCGCCGGTTACAAGACGGTTAGGTTAGCGCGGCACTCTTCAGCACTTGCCACTTTGCCAGCTGATCGTAACTCTATAGCAGCTATCTGCGTATTATTTCCCATAAATATTGAATACCTACATGGTTCATATAACCTATTATATCATTGTGTAACGACATCAGCGCACTTTTTGCGAGTGCCCCCCCTCCCAATGGGTATAATTACTATAATATTATCTCACCGACATAAAGATACGTGGATCAGCACCCGTTTTGGTCATTCGTTCAGTAAACTAGTAGTTTTCAATCATCTGTCGGGTGGTCAATGAACATAGATGAAAATTGGAAAGTGCTTAAGAGCACCAGGAGCCTTCTTAATGCAAAAATTCGGAGAAATAAAAGATATGAAGTGCACTGGTCACTACTATGAATAATAAATGTAAAGTAATCTTCATTTAAAATATAGTTGGAGAGCCAATATAAATAAGAATAATATTACAAAAAATTTGATTAATATAAGATTGAAGCCATCTATATCTATCTTTCTTATAACTTAAAAATAATATAGTTCACTAATTTGTCATGGATAATAATATACCGGATGGTATATTATTACCGATATACTCATATAGTCGTCTCTAAGACAGCATGTCTAAAATAAATTACTCTTAAGTTTTCCATGCTATTTGAGGTAAGTCGAGTTTTGCTTGCACATGGAGTGGCTTTGATATTAAATAAAGTATTTATAAATATTAGCCTCCTCTAAAATGATGAATAATGTCCGTTTTCCGACTATGGAGATGATGAGACGGTTGAAGTATGGCTTTTGGGTCTGGAGAAAAAATCCAGATTTTTTCTCCACACCCAAAAGCCATACTTCAACCGATGAGACCGATGAGGGGTACTAAAGAGGTGGGTTTTCCTGGCACCCCAATGTTCAAAAATCCATCTACCTGTTCTGAAGATATAAAAATATATCTGATATTCTACAATTGGCAGTCCGCTTTCAAAGATTTCGATTGAATTTAGAGCTATCTATTTTAGGCCCATATAAATAAATAATTGCCACAAAGAGCCAGCTCCCAATCATTTGAGGGACAAAATACTCGATGAGTAAATTTCTACTACGATCAATGATTTCATTCGTTTTTTTTAGTCTAATAGAGTCGGGGCACCTCAGTTGCGTCCCGTTAAAAAGGTATACCTACATGAATTGCGTCCAACTATATTGGCTAGGTAATATAATTTTTTTTCGTTTTCAGGGGTTCTCCGAGGTATATTAATTATAAGGGAGCCTAGGCTCTGATATGATGTTTTGATAATGATATAAATTATAGTAATGAATAAATATAAACCTAATTTTTATCTAAATTCTAAATGATTTAACATTTATTTACTTTTTTATTACATTTCATAAACAATTTTTTGATTGATTTGTGGCCATATTCATAACTGTTATTTATTTTTGTTAGTTGTTTAAAAACCCCTGATTAAAATATACGAATTCCGTCCTGTGTTTTTTGGGACGCAATTCGTGTATACCTTTTTTACGGTACGCAACTAAAGTAATCCCAAAAATATTAACAAAATTCACCAATTCATCATTGGTATTAGTGTATTACTATTACAGGTACTTGGTTCCTACTTTATACTATTAATAATATTTGATATTTTGATATTATACACTTATATATTTAATCAAACATATCTAAATACACTATATGGTTATTCTATAATAATTACTAATTGCCATAATTAGTCTTCATGATTTTATTAAAGACTATTGTTGTTGTGAATTTGTGACTAACACTACTTTAGGAGAACAAATAATTCTATGGAAGAATGGAATAATATTTCTCCAACACTAGTCTGACAGTCTGTATCAAGCATCCAAGTATGCGGCATTTCATTGTAGCAGATTCAAATAGCAACTCAAGAGTTTTATTAAAATTTTGAACAATAGAATGGTAGCTTTCAATAATAATTTTGGTAATGATGATAAGTATAAAAAAAGTTAAGTGGACATTTTTCAAATGAAAATATTTTCAATTTTTTATATAACGTGAGTTATGAGTTATTGGTATCTTCCAAAAATAAAAAATATTAATTATTTAATATTGATATTAGAATTAGTATTATTATGACGATCAAATTTAAATTATTTTTATACATTATTTAACCATTAATACATTTATTGATTTTCATTGAATATTGTTGTTTAATATTTTAGGTACTTATATTTTTTTTTTGTCCGGGGGAAAATTGCCCTGTTTGGTGGTGGGCATCCAATAATTAGGGGAGAGGGGATGACATCCTTAGATTTCTGAATATCCTATCATTCCTATCCTTATCGGTATCTAGTTAAGCAGGTTATATGATATAAACAAAGTCGCAGTGGCGGTTTTCTAGGGGAGGGGTCCTTTAACATTATCTCATAATACATAAGACAAAAAAGGTTAACCCTTTAATTCTTACATAAAAAAAACATAGCATTTAAGATATATTAGATATATATCCGCATATAAAAATCGTAATAGTAATAAAAAAAATTACTGTCAAACCCCAATCAAGCGCCCTGCGCGAATAATGAATCACAGCCTTAACTTGTGATCTGATGGGGGTGGTCCAGCTGGTCTGGACCCCCCTCCCCCCGTAAAACTGCTACTGGTTATATTTACCTATATATATTACTTTATCATACAATTAAACAATTACAATAATCATTTAAGAAAAAACTGTAAAAGTAATTTTAAGGTTTAAAATATGTGTACGTAATGTACGTATACTTTGTAATAAGTAATAATTAATACCTACTAAGTACTAATAATTGGTAATTACTAGGTAACCGATAACCCACGACTTAAGATAAATATTTCTTAAATCTCACTATAACTTATGTTTTAACTTTAAACCAGCTATTGCAGAATTGGTTTATTTTACACTGTCTCTATCAGAGAAACACAAGTACACGAGTCAAGCATAAATAAGGCAATTGTATAATACTTTTAAATATAATAAAGATATTGATAATTGATAGTTAACAAATATAATTGATTAAACAGAACAATAAGCACAGCGTAGGGAATATAGACTTTGTTTCAGCAGCTATAGAAGATATTATCTACTCTAATCTCTACATTATGACAATACGTATTAAAATAATGTAATATTAATATAAGGTTAATATAATAATATAATATGCTATACCTTTTTTTAATATAGGTAACTAGTAATTATTTAAGACAGCTAACTGAAATATAGTAGTAACTGCAATGTAGGTATCTTGAAATAAATCGAGATGATGTGGACAGATGTCAGATTATAGTTACATACCTACTTATAAGTTACATGGACTATATGTTTTTAATAGGTGGGATCGTTTAATAAAATAATACAAAGTTGTAGGTAGTACCTAGTTGTAATATAGAGTCATTAGTTGACCAGTCGGGAGATTGTTAAATAATTGGTCACATTGAACGTTGAAGTTGAACTAAATTTTTATTTAAAAATAATGGACAGGTATTACATGCACTATAATATACTGGAACAATATCACACAGAGCAAAGCAATAATATTCACTGTCACTTTCTAATTCTATCAAAATCTCTCTCTTTTTAGTATGACTAACGTCTCACTCTGACTCAGTTCTCAGTAGTCTGCTGGAAGGTAACAACAGGTAGTTGCCACTGACATCGTGCATGCCATTCTTGTGAATGTCGGTGATAATGTAATTTTTTTTAAAGATAAAAATAATTTACGTGATTAAACCACAGAACAAAATGTAAAGACTTTACCGCCTTAATGTTTAAATTCTTACTAAAAATAGTTTATACGTTTTAAATAATATTATTGTATTATTATATATAACTGAACAAAATTATGTGTCCAGCGTTAATGACCCGTTTGTTATTATGTTTAATATTTTTACTCGAAAGTAATTGTGGAAACTTAAATGCCCTAGAAAAAAAAAAAAAAACGTTTATTAACATCGTTTTTATCCCACAGGAAACAATGTCATGAGTACTGAGTATAGAGGTAAATCACTAGGAACTCTGAATTCATATCATCATCAAGTTGGTGGTGAAGTGTATGCTGTTAATGAGTATACACTATTGATATCAGATTTCACATTTGATGGTAGTGCGAATGATGCATTTTTCTGGGCAGGTGCTTCTAGTAGACCAGGGCCTCAAGGATTTATTTTGGCTAATGAATATGGACGGTAAGAAAGATGATTTCTTAAATTATCAATCTATTCTTATTTTTGGTAGGTATTTGCTAATGACAAATTCATTACCTACATAAGGAATG